CTGCCCTCGGGCCCGGCTCGGCCCGGCGCGCCGCGCACAGGACAGCAGGACGGCCGGGCACTGCCGCCGCCTCACCTAGAGGCCAGGGGAGAGGCCGATGGCCGCGCAGGACGTCACCGCCGGCTCGGGGAGCGGGGAGGGGGCAGGAGCGTCGCACTGCGTCGCGCCGCCCTTGGGGACCCAACCGGCAAAAGGCAAAACGGGCAAAGAGGAAGAAAGTGCGGCCGGGCCCTGCGCGCCGCGCCGTGAGAGGGAGAGAGACAGACAGGCCGGCTCGCGGAAGTGCAGCGGTGCAGCGCGAGCACGCCGCGGCGGCTGCGGCGGCCGCTCGCCACTTTCATTACCAATTTGCAAAGGTGAGCCGGCCGGCCGGCCAGTCCGCGCTCGGCATCGCCAGCCGGGGCGTAATGCTGGCACGCCGGCCGCGCGCTGCCCTCCAACTTGACCCACATCCTCAAGAGCGGCACAGCCGTTCCCACACCGTCCCTCTCTTTCCTGCTCATCTTTCCTGACAGGACGGCCGATGCGATGCATCGCGGGCGTCGCGGACTGCACTCACTCAGGGCCGCCGCTGTCACCGGTCTGTCTCTCTCGCACCCCCGCGGGACGCCGGGGACGCGCCGCGAGTGCGAGGGAGACGGAGCGGCGACAGCGACACTCGTAAAGGCAGCGGTGGCGCCAAAGGTAGTGTGTCGCTGAGTATCCGTATGGCCGCGGTGCCGATTCGCTGTTACGGGCGTTACGTGGTGCCGCGGCATGGCGGTGACAGCACTGCCCGGCCGGCCGGCCCGGCCAGCGCGAGCGTGCGACAGAGATGCCGACACCGAGCGCGCCGAGCGCCGACCCCGCGCCTCTTCGGGACCGACAGTCTGACAGCCGTTCAATGGGCAATGGGGATTAGGGCGGATGGGACTCCCCGCCTCACATCCGGCGCCACCTTACAGTGTCGCGTGTTACGTCACCCCTCCCCCCTCCCCCTTCCCCTTTCCCCCGGGACCCAGCCCGTCGTCCTTGCCCCCCGCCACCTCGCCTCGCCTCGCCGCGTGTTGTCTGAGGTAAGGAACCCGAAGGAACCGTCGCCGCCGTGCCATCCCCCTCCAACCGCATCGCATCGCGCCGACTTCGCGGGCGCGGGTTCGATCCCCGAAGATGCTGCTGACGGTTTTTACGGCAAAATTTTTGCCTGCCTGGCGGTTCCATACGGAGCCCCGCCTCGTGGGGCATATTGTTTTCGTACTTATGGAAAAACTATTTCGAATAAAACGAACCACCCCTTTCCTCCCTCCCAAAAAAGGAAAAGAGCTGTCAATGAACGTGCACGAGGTGAATAAAAATCCCGGTGGCAGTAGGGCTTTATGCTTGGAGCCTCCATTGCTAGTATTCGATGCGTTACGTACCAACTACGCAGTCGCGTCGCTGGTGTGGAGATGGAGGCACCTTGGGCTGACACATTAAATTGACAGAGGCTAGGTTACGATTATTACTACACATCCCCGCGGCCAGTTGTAGTGTAGTAGTGTGTGGGAGCCCTCGCATGCAATGCCACTGGTTCAAGTCCCCAGCCCATCCTATTTTTTTTACTTTTTTTCAAATTCCATATTTTTCTGTGTCCTGGAAGCAGGTGCGGTTTGTCGAGCACAAGCCGCAGACATGCACGAGTGGTTTCTCAACCGCCGGAAAGGCGGCAAAGGCACACACACTGTGGAGGAGGAGCTGCACTGCACGCTTCATTGCTAGTCAGTCAAGGTGTCGCTGCGGGCCGCCGCGGGCCGCGCCCTAGTGCCGAAGTGCCTGACGCCGTCGTGCCCGACGGGGAGCATCGCCGCGTCCAGGAACCGAGCGACCACTTCCTCTTTCACACGCAGTGAAAGCGAAAAGGCCGACACAATGCTCTGGCCGGCTCGACGCACCCACGCCTAGACCGGCACCGCGCCACGCCGCCACACGCGTCGCGAACTTGACCTCGGCGGGGGGGGGGGGGGGCGCCACACCTGCGAGCCGCGAGCCTCGCCGAGGAAAGCCTTTGGATGCTTTGCCTTTTCACGGCCGCGAGGATGGCCGGCCGCACGGCCGCATGGCCGCGCACGCGCATCGATTGGGCCGCGCCGGACGGTAGAGCCGCGACCCAGGAAGCGCGGCGCGGCGGGCGCGGCGTCATCCGATCCCGTCCCGGCCACCCGCAGCCCGGCGCCATCCCCGCCGTTTATTGGGCTGGCCGTCTCTCCGGCTGCGCCATGACCACGCCGTGGCCACGCGGGGCATCGGCACTTGTCTTGTCGCGACCGGGGCATCGCAGCATCGCGGTGCCCGTCATCCATCAGGGTGGCCCAACCGGTTAACCTAGCGAGGTGGTTGACTGGGGCCTAACTTCACTTCCTGCAGTAGGTTTCCAGCAGCCGGTGCGGCACGTTCGGCGGGACGCAAAGAAAAGAGGCGAAGAGCCGCCGTGCCCACCCGGCACAGCGCGCAGCATGGGCACAGCGCAGCGCAGCGCGGCAGTTGCCGCCACTCGCCCGGTCGAGGAGTCCGAGAGCTGGCGCTCCGAAAAGTCAAGGTCCCCGTCCTTCGCCCTTGCCCTGCCTGCCTGCCTGCCTGCCTGCCTGCGGGCCGGCCGGCTGGCTGCAATCTCAATCTGAATCCGGAAGCGAAGGTGCTGGCCATCCTCACGCCGCGACCGCCGCACCAGCCTCACCAGCCCAGCACCCTTGAATTAGCGCCTCGCTGAGCTGCTTTCCTCGCACGACGTGGACGCGGTGCCGACCGCCCCGCCAGCCCCGCGAATAGCTTTGGCGTCGAATCCGCATCAGAATGGACGTCGCCGACGTCGATTGATTCGGTGTCGATTGCACCGTGCGGGACAATCGGACCAGCCCGCCGGACTGCGCAATTTCAAAACGATCCACAATTAAAGACCGCGGCGCCGCACTTGTTGGCGTGCTCCGCGTCGCGCCACGGCACCATCAACGAGTGACGGATGCAGTTGCACACCGCGGCGCGGCGGACGCATTGTCTGCGGCACGGCGTCGCGGCGTCGCAGCGTCGCCCTGGAGGCCCTCGGCGTCGTCCTCCGCGCGTTAACGTTCGACTAACGACCCTCCCATTACCGTGGGCACGCCGCCACGCCACCACGCCGCCACGCCACGCCGCGGCACGTGCGTGGACGGGATGTCCCATTTATGAGTCGCGGCGACATTTCGCTCCGCCAAGGAGAGGAGCGGACGGGGATGCGCGGCGTGCCAGGCGACATGCCAGGGCGGACGGCGCGGCCAGGCTGAGGGCCTTCTTCTGGTCCGCGGCGAGCGGCGAGAGGAAGCCACGCGCCGCCCATTGACACCGCGGCGGCGCGGCCAGGCCCGGCCCGCGCGGTGATGTGCGCCCTGCACCACCCTGCCCTGCACTCTCTAGGCGGAGGCGCGCAAGGTGAAGGTAAGGCGGCCTGCCACTTTTATGGCATCGCACGGCGCGGCCGACGGCCCGCCTGCCCGGGATGGGTTTGGAGTTTGGCGTCCGGAAAAGAAGTCGCCTGGAAGGTCAGTGGCTAGTTTTAGTCGGCGCGGTGCTGCGCGGTGCGGACCCGCAGGACCCACAGCCAGCCGCTGTGTGAATGGCAATGGAACGCACGGGCAACTAGGCGCTTCGCACCTGGGTAATAACATCCTTGTTCACGTTCACCAGGCTTCATGAGGTGCAAGACTTTTATTTAAATTATTCTTCCGGTGTGTGTAATTTTAACGGGGGAGCATTTTAAAATACCTGTTATTTTGCGCACTCGTCGGCGCCTTCTCGGAACGAGTACCGCGGCGGCGACGAACGAAGCTGTGCTGTGCAGGCTGTGTGCGCAGGTACGCCGAGACCCTACCCGCCCTTGAGGAGTCAATGGTCTGGCGAAAGCCCACTCCACGCCTCGGCAAGGGCAATAAGGGCCCCGACTACGCGAGTACACTGGCAGTGCCATGGCACCCGACGACCCTCACACCTGTCTGCTCGGATCCTCGCCGAGTCCCTTCCAGAGGAGCTTCGCGACCACGGCCCCGCCCCGTCCCCGCCACCCCCGTACCCCTCGGCTTCCCGTGGCGGGCGGTGTTTTTCCTCGGCGGGGGTAACAACACTCCAAGTGGACCCATGAGTCGTCGCTGGAATCCTTCCTTCGTTTTGGACCATGACTGACTCGTGGCGATGACAAGGTAGTGCAGCGCCTGCAGCGCGATGCACTCAGGCACTGCAGTGCAGTGGCCGTCACGGCCGGGCAAACAGGCGGGCAGGCAAAGAGCGGGCACGCTGGCGATGCTGACGGAAGCTACGCGAACCCATTCGGATTGGTTGGAACGACCTGGTATCTTGTCGGACATGACAACGAGCTGCTAGGGGCGCTGACGACAGCATTGCTCCCTGCCAAATCCTTTATTGTTCTCCAAAAAGGAAAATGAGGTCTCCAAAAGTAATCCGTTCCCACCGGACCCAATCCCGCAGTCATGGGCAATTTTTGTTTCATTTTTGCTCGCCGCCGCCACGAGGGCTGTTGTCAGGGGCCCTCGGGCAGAAGATGCCCGCCGTGCCCGAGCGCGACAAAGCAAGCACCATGAAGCCGTTCGTCCTGGCAGGCGTGGCAGGTGCGCGACAGTCCGATCCCTCGCCTGCCGGAACGCGAGGACACCGTGCGAAAGCGTCCCCGCGACGCTCGCGTGGGCCAGGACGGCCTGGACGTCCGAGACGTCCGAGACGGCCAGGCCAGGACGACGGGGACCCTCGGCCGGTGAGCGACAGGATGCGCGCCGCACGTCCTGCCTCGCTCCGCGACCCTGACCGCCGCGCGGTGACCTAAAGGCTAAAGGCGTTGTGACCTGGAAACATTTACGCGGTGAGGTGCCGGCCGTGCCGCCGCCCTGCAGGCTGGCATGGCCTGCACCGCTTTTCGCGCCAAAACGGCAACGCGGCGGCCGCTTCCGCATGGCCGAGGATGTAAGGACGTCGTACTCATGTGCGCCGTGTCTGTGTTGCAGTGACGTGGGCCCTCCTGCTGGCGGGATGCCTGTGCCTCTTCCTCGGCGTCGTCACCACCGTCTTCACGCCCTACGACATGCTGATGCGGGAGGTAAGTGCAGGCGGCGGCCCTTGAACCCGGCGGCGCTTGCGGGCGGCTTGCCGACGGCAAGGTGCTGGCTCGAGTCAGGGCCCCGCCCCGCGCCGCGCCACCGGAACCCACTCTTTTGGCCGAGCCTGCCGGCGGCGCGCCAGCGCCAGCAAGGCAGACGGATGGCGGACGGAACGGCCGGCGGGGCGAACCGCGACACTCGCGGCAATATGGCAGCGCCAACGCCAACGCCCCTTGTGGTGTAGCTGCCGAGTGATTCAGAAGATCGCTTTGTCGCTCTGTCTCTCTCGCACCCTTACGGAGTGCCCCATGAGTGCGAGAGAGACAGAGCGACGAAACGACTCTTCGGAATCGCTCAGCTGGACCGGTTCGGTGCAGCCAGGTTGGTGGCGTTGCTGGTGCACCGGCCGGCACTTCGCACGTGCGCGTGTGCACGTGTGTGAGTGAATCCCTCCATCTCATGTAAACAAAACCAACCGCGGCCGCGGGTGCGGGGGAGGGGGGCGCGGCAGGTGTGGGGAGGCGGGAGGGGGCAGTCGCCGCGCTGCGCCGCGCTGCGCCGCGCAGAGGAAGTGGAAGGGTAGGGTTGGCAGCAGGAGGAGGCAGCCGCTGGCCCACATCCGCAAGGTCGCCGCCTCGCCGCCTCGCCGGGCCGATGGCAGTGCGGCGCTACGGCACTACGGCGACGGCGAGGCAGAGGCAGCACAGCCCGCAAAGCCAGCAGAGGCAGAGGCACCGCGCCGCACGACGGCGGCGAGCCTAGCGCGGCCGCGCCGCAGCGCCGCAGCGCGCCGGCAGAAACGTGGTAAAACTGGCAAAGCGCGGAATTGAGGCTCGGACGAGAAGGTCCGCCGGCGTCGACGTCGACGTCCAGGGGGTACCTTGAGCCGGCCAGGCGATCCCTTCCCATCCCATCCCCGCGGGACGCACCGTGACGAGCCGCCTGCAGCACGGCCTGCTTGTCGGTGCGCGGCACGGCGCGCGGCGCGTGCACGCTCGCCATTTGTTGTCCTCTCGGTGCACCGGCCTGGACGGGGCGGGGCGGGCGGGGCTGTCTGGGGCGAGGCGGGGGGCGGCCGCGGGGCGGCCGCGGGGTCACTGACCGCCGACACAGTAGCCGGCCAGTAAGTTGCAGTCAGCCATGTAGGGACGCAAAGGCTGGTACGAATAGGTAATGCGCCACCGTACCTGCAACTACGAGCTGCAAGGGCGACCATTTTATACTTTCCACTTTATATGGAAACAAAGTTTATTTTTCTTAAAAAGAAAAAGAAAAAAGAGTGAGCTCTTTCTTATTACCATTGGAACTGCATTTGTGCCCGGGCCCGATACACATTCCTGTTGTTGCAGCGGCTGAAGATGCAACCCGGGCTGCCGGCGTTCGAGTGGTGGGCCACGCCCCCCGACGAAGTGCTGCTCCGCGTCTACGTCTTCAACGTCACCAACCAGCACGACTTCGAGAGTGGCCGCACCAACAAGCTGCACATGCAGGAAGTGGGGCCCTTCATCTTCAGGTAGACGCACGCGGAGTGCGGCAGTGGTGGCGGTGAAGGGTGCGCCCGCCGCGTAGGCAGCCACGGCGGGCGGCGCGAGCGATGGGCGGCCTACCCCGCGCGGCGAAGGCAAAGGCCTGCAAAGGCGGAGCGAAGGACGGCAAGTGGAACTGACTGTCTTGCGATCTGTCGGCAGGGAAAAGCTGGCGCACACCAACGCCACGTTCCACGAGAACGGCACCATGACGTACACGGCGGTGCGGACGGCCATCTTCCTGCCGGAGATGAACACCCTCAGCCTCAACGACACCATCACCGTGCCCAACCTGGCCGTCCTGGTGAGGAGCGCGGCGATGGAGGTCCGCCCTCTGTCTTTGTCGTCGTCCTCACTGACCGCGCTCTCTGTCCGCAGGGGATGGCGTCGTACCTGCACGACGCGTCCTTCCTCACCAAGATGGGCTTCAGCCTGATCCTGCAGCGCCTCGACTCGCAGCCCCTCATGAACATCTCCGTGTACGACTACATGTGGAACCTGACGGACCCCCTGGTGCACGTGACGCGCCGCCTGGTGCCCCACCTCGTGCCCGTCGAGAACATGGGCATCTTGAGCAGGGTGGGCATCCCTTGGTGGGCATGCCAAGGAAGCAAAAGGGAGACAGGCCGGGGCTTTGAACCCATGACCTTAACCACGGCGGTTCCTCTTCCAGATCTACGACGACTTCACGGACGAGGTGTCCGTGTTCATCGGGCCGGAGAACGAGTACCGCTTCTTCCAGATGGACCGCTTCCACGGCAACCGGAACCTGGGGTGGTGGTCGGCGGACCGCTGCGACTCGGTGTACGGCGGCACGGAGGGCGTCTCCTACCACCAGGGCGTGCACAAGGACCACGAGCTGCGCTACTTCCGTAAAACGCTGTGCCGCGTCACCCCGCTGTACTACGCTCGTGAGTACAGGGTACTGGAGGGTCGCAGCCGCGGCCACTCCTGCGCCCCGCACCACCCTCGAACCCTTGGCGTCGCGCGTCAGCGTCACTGTAAACGCCCTTCTTGTGAATGCGAATGTGCGCAGGGGAGGAGCACCGCCTCGGCATGTCGGCGATGCGCTTCGAGCTGCCCGATGACGTGTACGACCGGCCGGAGAACGCCACGTCGGAGACGGACTGCTTCACCAGGCCGGGGAAGGAACCGCTGCCGGCCGGCCTCACGGACCTTGCGCCCTGCTACTTCGGTGAGACGAACACACTGCGAAAAGACAAAGACCCTCGTGTTTGTCTTTCCCCGAGGTTTCTACATTGGAGGGAACTCTGTTCGTGTTGCAGACTTCCCCATCGCCGCGTCCATGCCGCACTTCTACAGCTCGCCGCACCTGCACGAGCTCGTGGGCGGCATGCAGCCCAACCGCAGCAAGCACCACTCCTACGTGATCGTGGAGCCGGTACGCCCCGACGCCCCGTTCGAGGACCGAGCCCTCCTTCGCCTCCAAGGCCCACGGCCTAACCACGCCACTTTGATCTTGCTTGTCCGCAGACGACGGGCGTCCCCATGAACGCCGCGGCGCGCAGCCAGTCCAACCTCATCGTGCACGACGTGAGCGGTATCACCAAGGTGGCGCGCTTCTCCAACCAGGTCATCCCCATGTTCTGGGCGGAGTATGTAAGTACCAGTAGGCCCAGCGCGCTCAGTGCGCCGTGAGGGTAGGCTGCCCAACACACTGTGGCCGGTCCCACCGCCCGCGGAGCCGCGGAGGACGGCATCATTCCATCTTTCTTTTTCTTCTTCGCAGAACCAAGTGGGCCTGCCGTGGTACATCCAGGCCACCATGTACTTCACCGTCATGATCCTGCCCTGGTCGCAGCGCCTGTGCACGGCGGCCATGATGCTGGCGGGGCTCCTGATGGTGGCGCTGGCGGTGCGGCGGTGGTCGCGGAGCTACCGGGCGGCGAGGAAGCGACTACTGCGCCGAGGCCTCCGCGCCGTGCACTCGTCCAAGGCGCCGCCGCTGTCCTCGTACAGCTCGCTGGACCTGCTGCCGGCCTCGTCGTCGGGGTCCTCGACGGGCGCGTCGCCCTCCACGGCCTCGTCCGCGGCTTCGACGAGCGGCTCCACCGCGGAGACGCCCTTGTCGTCCAGCAAGTCGTCGTCCACGGAGCAGGTGGCGGCCCTCAGCTAAAGCAGGAAGGAGCTATTCTATTTTCAAAGTCGTAATTTATTTTTCCTAGATTGTTTTCTATTTTTGTTTGCGGGGCGCGGTGAGTCCCAAAGTTTAGCTAAATGGCGCCCCGCGAACGTGATCGTGTGAATTGTGATGGATCTAGGACCAAAGTTCCTTTTTGTGACGGCACTGCTGCACTGCATCAGGCGAGGCCAGAGGCCGGAGCAGCTCGAGAGTGCCGTGCTCGCGGCGCCCCTCGCCCTGCAGCGCCCAAAACACGGGCTGGCTGTCAACGCCGTCACAAAGCCGGCGGAGTAGAATAAGAATTGTTGCCGAGTGTAGTCGCCCCGTTGGGGTGTCGAAGCTTGGCTAGTACTTAGAGGCTCTTTTTTGAAGACTGCGACCTGAATGGCCTGGAAGAGTCCAGTGCCGTGTTTTTCTCGCCAAGACTGGTTTAGTTTTGATCAAAATCTCTGTTGTGCCGATATCAGCTTGAACCCAATATCCCACCAGATTTTAGCAATAATGTAATTTGTTTGTGGAAGCCGCGAGTCAGTTCTAGATTTTGGTAGATGTGTCCATAACGTGTGGTTTTTACGATGCGTTTCTGATTGCGGAAGTATCGTGCTTAAATCTTTGCTTCCTGCTTGTCGTTCCTGGCCAAACCAACCGAAAAAACTATAACATTTTGCAACATTCACACGGTACTTGATATTCTGAGTAAGTTCACCAATTATTATTATTTTGTTTCTGTGAACAGGGTGAAACAGGGTCTTATGTATCATACGTATAAGCTGTATAAGCAATGGTGTTATTTAAGTCCGACCACGTCATGGATTTGACTGTCAAATCGGGAATACCAAGAATGCCCATTCTTTTAATCAAATCAAAGATATTGTATATATAGATTTATAAGTTGGAAAGCGTTTACCGAGAGACACGTGTGGTAAGATAATATGGGTCACTTACATTGTTAAAGACTTTTTACTGTAGCTTTTTGTAGGCATACGAGTTTGAGGAGGCAAGTATGTCACAGGCACAAAATTTTGCATGGTTTTACCAGGCAGCCATACCGAAAAATGAAATCTTTTGTCAAGCGTTAATCTTTTCTTTTGTAAAATACTATGGGAGACGTTTGGCATGCCCATTCTTCCCCCTAGCGGCTGTCTGTATGTTGGTCGGTGTTGGCTGTAACGTCTGTGCCACGAGTGATATTACGATTTTGTTTAACGAAACTTAAGCAATTTTAGGAATTTTATTTGTACAAGCGCAAACATGGGGCTTCGATTTGGCCCCGGGGGGTCCTTGTTGTTTCTTGTCGTGTTTTGTTAGATAATGATTGAAAGGGTCGTAGTTGCTCGATGTCGTGACGACGTTCTGAGATGTATGTACTTTGACTATTTGTATGTATTGTTTTAATGTTAACAAAGAGCAAGACCAAAACTAATGGTACAATGAAGGTGATCTAGCTCATTTGACAACCCTAATAGTTTAGCGTAGGACGTAATAAGTGTTAGGTGTATTTTGTCTGTGATTGTAATTTTTACCGCCTCGAGGGTGACCTGTTCTTATGTAAAATAAACTCCATTACATAGCAAATGTAATTCTGTGTTTCTTTTCTTGTGCCAGAATTCTACGGGCAGTCTATGACGTTGGGCCGAGAATCCACGACCGAGTGCCAATATAGTCAACCTGCTAAGGCTGATCTCTTTCAAACTCAGGGAATAACTTGCTAAAAAACATCACAAGATCTTGGTTCATAATTTAATCCATCGTAGCGTCAGAGGGTATAAATTAACATTAACGATATAACTTAACAGCATTTATCACAATACTCTTCAATGATATGCACAATTAAAATCACAATTTCATGGTCCCCTAATGATTGGCGTCAAAAACATGAACTATGTACAATTGAGGATTTCACCTTTTTCAGGACGGGTACAATATGACAATATAATTAATTTACGCGTCAAAATGAGTCAACGTGAGTTCGTATACTTGAGGTAGAGATTATGAAATGGTGAAAAAACGAACTGGACGGGGAGATGAGCCGTTCGATCAATTGAGTGAGCAATAACTCCACTAGGCTGCCTTTCGCACGATTTGCCGCATGAGCTATGAATGAGCATAACGCATTTTTGTTTTCACCAGAAACAAAATGCACATTTTCTATGTACACTTAACATAAAAATAAATTACCAACTACACATAGTGTCACGGCGCGACAAAAGCGCCCGCCCGGGCGATGCCGCGTTCGTTGGCGCGGTGCTCGGCTACGGGGAAGTACTAACTCCTCCCCTTGTAGCCGTCCGCCCGGGGCAAGCCGAAGGCGGGCTTGGCCTTGAACGCGGCGGCAGCTGGGCCGGTGCGACGGGAGGCTTCGGCGCCGTGGTCGCGGAGGCGCGCGCCTTTGGTGGTGGACAGCATTGCCGCCGTGCACAGCATCCCCGTGCCCACGAACAGCACGGCGCCCGCGCCCAGCGAGCCCAGGGCCACAGCAGCAGCTTCGGCCGCCATCTTTGCGCAGGGTTGCGCGGGGGCTCTAGAGATCAGACCCGGCTGGGTAGAGGTTGAGCAGCGAGCCGCAAGTCCTTACGCTAGCTACACAACTATCACACGAATGAGGCAGGTAACTCGGTGACCCTGTTTCGTTGGGCAGAGTCTGCCCGGCAGGCTGGTCGGGCCGCTGCCTACGCCCTGCCCTTGCCGAAGAACTCTGGATCCCTGCCCAGCGACAGCACCAGGGACTCGGGCGCGGCGGCGGGCTTCACGGCCTTGATGATCTTGACCTGGCTGTACTTGTAGGCGTCCTGGACCGGCGGCCGCCGGGTGGCGTGCAGCATGCCCGCCGTGCAGCAGACGCCCACGGCCGCGGACACGAGCAGGAGCGCGCCGGACGCCACCAGGACCGCGATGACCGTCGTCTGGATGATGGGCGCCACTCTGAGCATCAAGTCGAGCAGCGAGCTGAGGGAGTCGGGCAGGCCGCGCACCGTCTGCAAACAGCCAGCCAGGTGACGCAGAGATAAGGCTTGGCTCAGAGGGAAAGGCAGATAAAGGGAAAAGACAAGTACTCACCAAGTCCACCCAGAAGATGGGCACCGTGAGGTTGTTGAAGGGAGCCACGCGCGGGTTGCCCTTGGTCTTGTGGACCACGAGGTTGGTCTGCACTCGGATGTGCGCCACCAGCGGCACCCCCACTCTCTGTTTGTAGGGCAAAGACAAAGACAGATACGTGAGACGACTCGAGACAAAAACACGCAGAATGGTAGCGCCGGTTCCGAGAAGTGGCAAGTGGCTCGCAGAAGGTGGTATCTGGGCACCGCGGCGCGCGCAGATACGCGCTTGCAAGCTGCTTATCGAACATATCGACCCGGCTGCTTTCAAATCGGAATAAAGGCAGTGCTGCTGAGATGGTCTTGTCTCTCTCTCACTTTCTGGCACCGCGGTGGCGACATAGTAGCCCAGCAATTAGCTCGCCAGGTGCGACCGAGCGGCGGGCGGCAGCAGGTGTGACAAGGACAGGAACACTCACCGGCTGGATGGCGAGGGTGGTGGCGTGCAGGGACTCGTTGGGGTGTAGCCCGTCGATCTTCTCCAGCAGCCTCTCGTCCGCCTTGTAGAAGTGCGGCAGCGACACGGCGGCGGGGATGTCTGCAAGGAGCGAACGCAAAGCCAACGTGATGAGCGAGGTTTCGGTCATTTCGGCAAGGACGGCCCGGACGACCTGGACGGCCGTCGTGGCCTTGGCCCGACAATTTCCGCAGTCTAATAATAACTCAAACGTCTCTAGGCTCAACGCGTCCACTCTTTTTTTTTCGGCCAAACAGATGCTTGTGGCAGCCTTCCCCTCCCCGCGCGGCAGCGGACACTTTCGCTGTCGAAGCGCCAACACGGTGAAGACGCGCTGCGACGCGCGGCGCGCAGCAATGTTCTAGGAAAGGTGAGCGCGCGCGCCAAGGCATGCCGGCGAGAAAGAAACCGACTTTCGTTCATCAAGCTCACCGAGTCCGGATTAGTCTTGACACTCTCGCCCGGAGCGCACCGCGCACACCCTCTTCGCCTCCCCTCCCTTAATGCCCGTGAAACGGGATCCTCTCAAACGTATAAAGCCTTGCGTTAAGCACTGACTGACACCCTCGGCTTTCATCCGCCAAATGGAAATGCACTCCCGCCAGTGATTCGAACAAAGTTCCAACCTGCAGGCAGGACAGGGGGCTGCCGTGTCGCGTCGTCTCAAGTCTCAAAGTCAACTCACTCTAATATGGCACTTGGACCTGGGGCCACCAGGACAGGCCTGCTTCTGCTACCGGCGGCGCAAGGCGGGCAGCGGGCAGCGTGACGTGACGGACTGGTTGGTAGTGTGGCGGGCAGGCGGCTGGCGGGCTGGCGGGCTGGCGGGGGCCGACTGAACCGAGACCGAGACCCAGCCGCGGACAGGCGAGGGGCAGGCCTCGCCCCACGCGGCCCTCGGGGGCGGTGGAGGGGCGGGGTGCGGGGTGGGGCGGGGCGGGGTGGAGGGGTGCGGCAGTCCGGCGTGGTTCGCACTATTCGCCCATCCGCCCTTCTCGCCGCGACCGACGACGACAACACAAACACCGATGTGGAGCAGGGCGTGCCTTGTGCATTTTCGCCCCGCTCGGCCCCGCTCGGCGCCGGCGGCGACGAAACTGCGTTTCGGCCTCTCCGCTCCGGGGGCGCCGTCCGCATCGGTCACGGACTTAGCGAGCGGCCGCGGGTGGCCCCCGCGTCGCTGCTAAATTTACTCGCGGTACGTGCCGCCAGCGCCGCACTGTGACTGCTATCGACGCGCTGTGCCCGAAATGCCGAACGCCGAGCTCCGTGCGACGCAGCCAGGCGGCCACCTCACCGTTCCAGAACGCGGAGGGAGGAGAGGGTTGGCAACCGCAATGCCCGGTCGAGACTCCCAGACAGCCGCAGCCCGGGGCGTTAGTTCCAGGCGTTCCAGGTTCACTGGTTCACGGCTGCGGCGTTCATGCAATGCCGCGGTGCCCTGTGACTCACTGGACCCGCGGGCCGCGGGACGGCGAGAGGGGCGGGGAGGGTCTCGGTGCCCGCATGCCCGGGCACGGCAAGGGCAGCCCGGAAGGTGAACCGGACCGGCTCCTCGCAGGCAGATCCAAAGGGACGCTGGAGGCCCCAAGGCCACGCCGCCGCGCCGCCGTGGTCGTGGTCAACGAAATGGTCCTTTTGCGCACGCCGCACGTCGTGTGACGGAATTCAAATTTCGAGCTAAATAAAGTACGGAGCGAATGTGCGCGCTGCGCTCCGTCGCGGCCACTTTGTAATGCCACTCGTGTGTCTCGCGCTTGTTTCTTTTCTCGTCGGGCTTGATGACGTCTCGATGCTCGCGGCCCCGTCCGGCCCGTCCGGCCCGTCCGGGTACGAGGAAGAGTCGCGCCGACGCGGCGACGCGGCTGTCAACAGGTCCAACAGGCACCGCGTCTTGCTGTGCGTCGTGCACTCCACCGTCGGCGTGCTCCGGCCGACTCGACTCACCGTAGTAGCAGGGCGTGAGGTCGCTGAGGCCGCGCGGAAGGCACGGCGCCACCTCCGGCCGGCAGTAGCAGCTGTTGTCGGGGTTCACGTCGGCGGTCTCGAAGATGTCGTCGCCCAGCGTGTACCAGTAGGCGGGGACGTGGTCCGGCGTGGGGCCCTCGCGGACGAACTGCAGCGGCAGCGTGCGGCAGAACGCCTTCCGGTACACGGAGAAGCGCATGTCCTTGCGGATGTTGCGCGGGAACAGGATGCCCTCCGTGGCGCCGCGGATCGTGTTGCAGCGCGTGCCGACAGTGGCGCTGCAGGCAACCAGCGAACTCAGGTTTTGGGTTCAAATCCCCACAACAGCCATTTTTTGAAACACAAGGGTACCTGTCGTGATCGTCGCCTTTGCCGTAGCCCCAGTGCGCCAGGCCGGGGCTGCCGTTCCAGGAGTCGATGGCGAAGGCCCTCCTGGAGAACGTGTCGTTGGTGCCCGCGGGCGCCAGGTCCGCAGAGGGCACCTTGCCGTCGTCGTCGCCGTAGACGTTCATCGTGACGACGTTCTCGCCGTCGTCGAACATCTGCAACGCCAGGGCCCGGCAGGGGATGTCATTGGCACTCTATCCAAGGTCGCTGCAGTTGCTAGCACCGCTCTCGCGGTCAAAGTCAACAACCCGACCGCCATCGTCGCGGATATCGGCTCTCCGCCTCTCGAAAACAGAGGCAGCCGAGCGACTCCGTGCACAGGCTCTGTCTCTCTCGCACTCCTACGGGATGACCCGCGAGCGCGACAGAGACAGAGCGACGAAGCGAGTCGCAGGCCCTCACCCTGTCCATGACGCCGAGCCGCGGGAAGTGGATCCACTTGGGGAACAGCTTGGAGGCGAGGTGCACCAGCGGGTCGTCGAAGCCCCACAGGAAGTCGTGCACCGTGAGGTGCAAGAAGGGCTGGGTGTCGAGGTAGGACGTCAGCGTCGCGAACGCGATGTTGGTGAAGATGGACGAGTTGTGCAGCGAGGACGCCAGCCCCTGCATCAAGAGACCGAGACGTGAGCCGTGAGACGACGCCCAAGCGGGGACAGCAGCGCCAGCCCCGGGTGGGCAGGCAACCCCTCCGGCACGGCACGCCTGGAGGGTAGGCAGCCGATCGTGCGTCCAGTAGCCGCCAGTTGCCAGCAGCGTGGCGCCTGGCGCGCGGGCGTCCCTGTGGCTGCGCCTGTGGACGGGCATCCCACCCTACCGCTGCCACGCCGTACCACAGTGGGCCAGAAACCGGTGCAGGCGGCCAAAATTCCGGACGCGTTTTGAGCTCCAGAGTCGCTAAATAGGACTCGAATCGAACGTGTGACCCCACCAATGGATTCCTCGCTCGGAGAGCAATCCATTGGTGGGGTCACACGGTCGGTTTGAGGCCCACTCAGCGTTTCTGGAGCTCAAAATGCGTCTAGAATTTTGGCCGCCTGCGCCGGTTTCCGGCCCACTGTGCAGCGGCGAGCCTCCCGCAGCGCCCTTCGCGGAGGCAGCCTGCGACACGGTCTCTCTGCGCCCGGCGGGCGGGCAGCCCACTCTGCACTACACGCAGGCCTCGCGTGCCCCGCGCCCTGCGCCTCACGCAGAGCGGGCAGGCAACCCTTCCACCACCCCAGTACAGTACGTGTTATCGCTGCCTCACTTCATTGTGTCGCTATCGTTATTTATTTTCCAAAAGTTGTCTATAATTTTCATTTGTTTTCCTCACCAGCAGCGCGAGGTTCGGGGCGATGACCACGGTGGTCCGTGGATCGCCAACGGACAGTTCCGGCACCGGGAACACGTTCCTCTTAGGGGTGTACGTCACGGTGTCGTTCTCGTTGAACTTGACGCCCGTGTTCTCCAGCTCCTCCCTGAGAAACAAACAGTTGTTTATTTGGCGAGGTCCTGGTTTCCACTTCCGGCGTCCTGGCTGGTGCACTGGGGTGCGCCCTGGTCCGTGTACCTGTAGACGAAGGGGCCGACCTCCTCGACGCGGAGCTTCTCCTGGCCGCGGAGGAACTCCCTGGGGTTGGTGACGTTGAACAGGTACACCTGCACGTAGATGGACACGGGCGGCTTCCGCCACAGCCCGAAGAGGAAGGACCCGTTGAGGAAGCTCATGCGCTGCAAAGAGAGCAGAGCGAGCGCCGAGTTATTCGGAGTTTGTTTGCTGTGGAATAAAACCGATCGCCGCAATGCAGGCGCGCGGCGTGGAACTTCCCTGCGCCCTCGCCGGCGCGGCGTGGCGCGGCGCGGCGCCCTTGTGGTGGGTGCTCGCCCCGTCGTCGCCTGCATCACGGCGACCAGAGCACTGGAGGCGTCTGGAAGGCTCGAAGGCGGTGCGCGAACGCGACGGAACGGAACGGCAAGGCGGCGGAGCGGAAACCTACCCGGCAGGCGGCAGGGGTGTCCTCCACTTCCATCCGCCGAGCCGAACAGCAAAACAGCGCGGTCATCGAGGGGCACAGGCTCAGGGGTCCGCACGGAGAGTGCTGCCCTTATTACCGGTTTTCGCGGCGCGCGGCGCGTCGGCTCACCGACTCGGCGGCAAGGCCCTGCAATGCCCAAAGCCCTCGGACGGCCCACCGCGGCGGCGGGGCGGGGTGCGGCCAGGGCGGGGCGGGGCGGGGCGGGGCGGGCGGACACCAACCTGGCGGTGACGTCCCGGACCGTTTAGCCGGACGGTTATCGAGTGGATCGGCACGCGGAAGGAAGCCGGAGGCGGCCAGGCGTGGCGGAGTGGCGTACTCACCACGTTGATGGCGATCTCTATGGGGTTTACGAGGTAGACGGCGTAGGCCAGCGCCAACAGGGCGACCCCTATGGTGCCCAGGAGCCGCAAGACTGCAACAGAAAGCGGGTAAACACACTGCAAACCGACATTGCCTGCTTGGCGCCCCTACCACCCCCGCCCCGCCCCGCCCCGCCCCGCCGCGCGCGACTAGATCGGATGCGGCGATAGCGATCGGCCGGCACGCCTCGCAAGGTTCATAGCGCGGCGAGCTGAGCGGCCGCGCCACTGCCTTATTACTCAATGATCATTATCGCGGCACTCCGCGTCCGTTCCTCTGTTCATTATGGCGACAAATGAGCGCCATTCTTGTCGTCGCGATCATGACCGGCTGCTGGACTCGTGCATTAAAACATCGGAACATTAAATCCTGAGCCTGCGTGCGGCGGCGGCAAGGCGGCACGGCAGCCCCGCGCTCCCCGCGCGGGCCGAGTGCGACCAAAACAACGACTGAGTGCTCCGGACGCAGCCGTCGGCCGAGGTCTATTGAAGCGATTAATCAGAAAACATCACTCAGCCCCTCACGGGGCCAGACGGGCGCGGCGCGGGGCGGGGCGGGGCGGGCGGGGGGGGCGGGTGGGGCGGGCGGGGCGGGGCGGGGTGGGGCTGGGGGTTTCCGCGGCCCGGGAGGTAGGAAGTAAACGCGCCGAGTGCAAGTCGTGCGGACCGCCCATCCGATATACGCAGGCCGTCATAACTCCAGCCGTCGCGCCCTTGTGCACTGAGGAGCAAGACAACAACACGACGGAGCCGACGGCGAGCGCCCGCCGAGTCGAAGCTAGGCCACCGCGACGCTCCCGTGCGCCGGGCTGGCCTGCCCTCCGGGCGGCGCAGGGAGCTGGTGGCGCGGGTGGAGCGGGTCACTGGAGCAGCGCGTCGCTGCGGCTTGCGGCGCTCGGTTGGACGGCGATGCATGCGGCGCTGCACTGCACGCCGCCTGACGGACATGCCGAGGCTGGAGGTCAGTTGTCAGCTCGTTTGGCTCACTGACACGCCGCGGCGTCCGTCAGTTGTCAGCTCGGCGTGGTACACTGACACGGACACGGCGGCGCGGTGAGTGGGTGGCGGCGAGGTGGTCGGCCGGGCAGGGACAGGGTAGCTCTGGCTTACCCAGCGGGCCGCCCGCATGACTTACGGCCTGACTGACACATCATTCGAGACGGGGGCGGGCCGGGGCGGGCCGGGGCCAGCCGCCGGATTCCGAAGGACCGTTTCGTCGCTCTGTCTCTCTCCCTCTCCAGTGTGGCGACCCGCGAGTGCGACAGAGACAGTCCAGCGGAATGCAGGCCGATGAAGCGGCGCGCTTCCGGAAGGGAAGGGGCGCAAATGGACCGCCGAAAAAAGCGAAGCTGATTGGTTCGGAGGCGTCGGGTCGGCGCGTCGGTGCATTGCACGCCGCCGTCATTATTTTTGGAACACTCTCGGCTCTCCTTGTCCAGGGCCAGCGGGCCAGCGACTCCAGCGGCGACTGGAGGCTGAGCGGAGGCTGGAGGCTGCGCGGAGGGAGCGGGGCACCGAGGGGCGCCGCCACGGCATTACTGCCCAGCACTGCTGGCGTCCCGGCCGGGCCCGGCGTCCTGACCCTTTCCCCGGAGGCGCCATGCACGGCAGCAGCAGCAGCAGCGCTGCCCTGCGGCGCAACGAGGTTTACGACGTTGCGACACACACAAACACACGCACACACGCCGCGGAGGCCGCATGGTGCGTAAACCCGTCTGCACACTAGAAAGGGCTCCTCCCACTGCCAAGGCCGCCCCTCCCGTCCCTCGCTTTTGGCGCGTCGCGGGTCGCGGGCGCCGCGGGGGCAGTGGAGCAGCCGGCGGCAGGGCAGTGAGGCTCGTTTCCGCGCCACTCCGCGTCAGTCCGCGTCAGTCCGCGCCAGTCCGCGTCAGTCCTCGGCCACCGACGCGTTTCCGGCAAGAGCGCCTCTCTGCCTTTCAGGGAGGCGGCGGGGATGCTGATGCCGCCTCGTTATCGTGCGCGCGATCGTGCCTTCGCTGCCGTCGCTGCCTTCGTGTCCGAGAGCGCGGCGGTGCGGTGCACTGTCCGCCGGACACGCCGGACACACCGGCGCATGCACGCAAAAACAACACGAGCAACAACAACGCGGAAACAATGACCGTGCATACGGGGTGCTTGAACTGGGGCACGAGGACGGGCTCCATGGAGCCTCCAGGCTCCCCGACTCCAGCACGCGACGTCCGCGGGGACTCCGCCGGAGAGGCGCGACGGCGCGACACTGCAGACGGCGATCCGGCAAGCGATTCGCCGCCTCGCCGCCGCATCGGAGAATCCCGTCTCCATCTCCACGTCGCGTTCGTTGTCCCCCCAACCTTCTTCCTGACGGACGCGCCTTGTTGTTGCTAGCGCGCACACGCACACTCGCACACACGCACGAACGCACGCACACACACGACGCACGCACACACACACGACGCACGCACACACGCACACTGGGGTGCATTAAAGTGGCCATTAAATGGGGCGCCCGTGGCGGGGCACGGCGCGGTCGGCGCCCCGAGCGAGGCTGCGCCAGGGCTGCGCCGTGGCTGCGCGCCGGGTAGACCCGGGCTTGGCTCGGACCCGGGTAGACCACGGCCGGGCTCGGCAGTCCGGGCGCAGCCCCGACGACGACGGTCTTCGCGCCTTCCTCCTTGTCCTCCCCGCCGGGCCAGGCCGGCCGGGCCGGGGCGTCGTAGCGTTTTGTTTTTCTTCGTCGTTTTTGCTTTTACAGGGTGTGAGCCGCAACGAGCCGCAGAGTGTTTATCCCAATTCGGTCCGCCGGCGGGGTCTTCATTACTGCATTCAATTTGTTCCGACAATAACGCATCGCTCTTTGCATAACCGGTCCGGCGACGTCGCGTTGCGTTTGCGTTGCGTGGCGGAGCGGCGCGCCACCGCAAAAAGGGGAGCAATCGGTGCAGTGCGTTGCGGACGGGCGGAGTGGCCGCGGTGCGCCGTGGTGGCCGGAAAAGCGGAAAGCCGACTTGCAGCGTCGCAACTTGCAGAGAAAGGCGCGGGGAGAGCCTCACCGGAACAAAGCGAGAATTGCGGGCTGTAGGGGTGAATTATCGCATCGCCCACCACATTCTGTGTTACAAAAAAAGGGAACACAATCTAGGCACATTCAGGCATTAAAAACACCTGCGCGTAGACATATTGAGTGACAAATAGCTCAGAAGTGTTGAGCATCTTTGCACATTCCAACAATTCTGTGGACGCACAACTTCACCGCGGTTCGTCATTTTTTCAACAAGTAAAATCAAATGCGTTTGCTATACAAAGTTTGAGGAGTTTGAGGTTCGACATTCACGACGCCTATTACAGCTTGCAGCGTCCGAAGCCGAAGCGAGCCGAAGGCCTCCGAGGCGGCCAATGCGATCGATAAGCTCGGCAACACGGAAAGCCACTCGGCTCAATAAAAGGATGAGGAAGGAAGAAATTCAATACGAGGGTGTACTCTGCGTGCGGGCACCGCGGAACCGTCCTTCGTCCTCCAGACGACGCGAATGCGAGGCCGTTGGCGGTCAACTAGTCCCAGTGTGCCAGCCCAGGGCGAGGGTAGGGTTGTCGCGAGGGCCGAGCCTGGCCGAGCAAGCCCGAGCCAGGCCGAGCGGTGACCCGAACTGCTCCTCTTTTTGCCACAGGGTAGCCGAGGCGGCCGGCCTGCCTACGTCACGCGGTGCGGGGTGGTGCAGGCTGCACAAAGTGGCCGCAAAGAAAGAGAGAAATAAAAAGAGAGAGAGGATCATATCCAGCTTTATGACGACAACAATCGAAGCCATTTTTTGCGTGAATGCGACTTGAGTGGCGTCCTGAATACAAATGGCGACGCAATATCGGCCGGTAAATCAAAGAAACGGCTGCACTCTCAGCAGCGAGCACGTCTGTGAGAGGCATACCCGTGGAAATTTGGCGCGGGCCACGCGGTCCTGGCCGAGAAAGCCAGGCAGCCAGGCGGCAGTGCCAATAAATAAACACGCGATGGCCTAGTGCCACACAACCGCTTTGACCTATAATTGCCCGCCGTTTATCTTCTTAGAAAAAACGCACGAAAATAAGCCGATAATTTGGGCAGGTGTTCCATACCGCCGCGTTTCCTGGAGCCCCCCAACCTTGCCGTCGTGGTGGACGGGCGGCCGCACGCGAGGCCGGCGCACCTCGGCGTCAACAAGTGCGTCTTCGGCGACAGCGCTTCGAGCGCTTCGGGCCGTCGTCACGCCACGGCCTGCCCGGGCACGGCCGGGCATGGCCAGGCATGGCGCGCCACACAAGAGTTATTTGACGGCAGAAAAAAAGTGCACTTCCTGAAGCCTGGGTCGACGGCCGCTGGCGAATCCGAACAATGAGCGTTTGATTCATTCCCCGAGGCCGAGGAGGACGTCGAGGAGGACGTCGCCGAGGAAGGGGCAGTGCACCGCGAACCGCGAGTCGCGAACCGCGCCTAGGTGCATCGCAACATAGTCGCGTTCGTGGACTCGGCCAATAAAAAGCGTCTCCCGACGGCGACAAGATCACGGCGAGACCCCGGGCAAGGCCGGGCAAGGCCGAGGCTGCCGAGGCACGGCGTCGACGACCCCACGGGGCGCCGGCGCAGCTAGCGCAGCCAGCGCAGCCGCCACGCGCCTCGCCGGGGCCGGGGCCGGGCCGGGCCGTGGCGATGCGCAGTGCATTCGAGGACCGGTCCCCGCCGATGACGATCGCGGGTGTCAACCGACTAGTGATGTAACAATGTAAGGCGAGTGCGCTTCGATGGGCGTGCCTGCGCTCTGCACTGCAGGCTGATTCCGAGCCGCCGTCGCTTCGTCGCGATGTCTCTGTCGCAACCGCAGGCGCTGCACTGGGAGTGCGAGAGAGACAACCGCGGAACGACTGCGCCGACTCGCCCTCCGACCCTTTTCCTCCCACGTGTGCCCAGGAAGCCGGCGCCGCGTGTCGCCGCTGACCCCACAGGCCACCGCGGCCCGAGGGCCTACGTGTCCACGAGCGCGGCGCCGTCGGCGTGGTGCGGCGCCCGGAGGATGACGGCTTCCGGCAAAGCGCTGCGCGGACG